TCCTGCCTCAATTGCCCTGCTCCAAATAGCAATCGTATCGCCGGAGAACTCACAACACTTGCCCCCAAATCTAATTGCAGTTTGCATGTTTGCCGGCACTTTCGGTCCGCTAGAGAGACCCCCTCCCTCCTCCACACGCCCCCTTTTTGCCCACTTTCGGGGAACTTATGCACATCTTGTCGGCACATAAATTCTCATTACAAGTGGGAACGATGACGATGACAACGACTTGGCCTATGGCACTGAACTTTTGTGCTTAATTTTTTCGATATGCAATAAATTGAGAATGGCCCAAGGGGATGGGGCAGCAGCATACCAGCTGGTGTCAGGGGATGTCGATCGGGGTTTGGGGTCTTTCGATGGATAAAGGTTGACCTGTGTACCTGAAGGTATAGTCACAAAAAATATATATTAAGTTATGTGAGGTAGGTTAAAGTTCTTGATCTATTATTCTTTTTAATCAATTCAATTGTTGAATGGTTTGTAATTATTGTTGTATTGTTAGAAGCAGTTAAATTGTTCTACAAAATTCTATAATAATGATTATTATGTAGAGAAAATGTTATGGAACCATTAAATGATTTTTCAATATATTAAAATGTTTAAAATCTTTAAATGTTAAATATAATTTTAAATTAAATAAATTAAATGAAAATTACCATTGTTTTAAATAATATATTTCTCCTATGATCTGTTGATTCCCCCCCCGAAAAAAAATAAAATCCATAAATTAAAGCTTAATTTTTTTATAGATGAGTATAAAACCTGTGGACAATTTCCAAGGGCTGTGGATATATATTAGTTAAACAGGATGGAAAAGGAAGTCCAAGCAGCATCGCTACTCTGCTGGCCGGATGAGCATTAATTGCGTTGATTGTCATCGCTGGTTGCTGGTTGTTGATGTTGCTGCTGTGCTGTTGCTGCTGTTGCTTTTGCTGTTGCTGTTGCCGTTGATGTTGCTGTTGTCGCTCTGCGTGCAATTGTTGCAAAAAGCTGCGGGCTGCGAATTGCAGTCGGTTCATTGGACTGGCGCAGTCAACTTGCAACTTGCAACGTCAGTCGCATGCGCCGATGTCTAGGTAAAAGTTCTATGTTGCTGCTGTTGTTGTTGTTTTGCTTTTTAGACACAATTTCCGGGTCATTGACTTGAAGCATTTCTTCATTGAATTGCGTATGTGACTGCATCGGTGTGTGTTAGTCCCTCTTTCTCAGTGTGTGTGTGTGTATGAGTGTGCAGCAACACGATCAATAAACGAGACAAGCAGAAGCAACAACAACACCAACAATCACACTACACCAACAACAACAATAAAGTACACCAACAAATGCAACAACAACCATACTAATCGACAACAACAACATAAACAGCTACAACAACCAGAAAAACTACACCAACAACAACTCCACAAAAATCAACAACAACATCCACGCACAACGACGACGACGAGTTAGAAGAAATACGATAAAAAAAGCAGAGACGAAGCAACCCAAGAACTTTTATATTACTGGGGAGTTCTTCCAGAAAGTGCACTGGAAATAAAAACTAGGACGAAGCTTAACTAGAGATCAATTAATGACATTTCATATGAATGCAACAACTTTAATATTTTTTTCGGATATTTTATGTTGACACAATTATTAGCAAGTGCAACTTTATTTATTGTTCGCACTTTAGAAAATATTAAATATTTTTTTTTCTTTTTTTGAAAAAGACAATCGATAGAAAATTGTATTTACAACGACCTCAGTTTCTTTCTGTGTAGAGGGGGGAAAAGCGTTGAAGAAAGGGGCGGGGCGGTGGGCGCTGAAGGGGTGTTGTTGTTCTGTTTACGACTTTGCCTCGCTTTTTGTTGGAGGACGAATGCCGTGTGCAGTGCAATAGCAGAAAAACACAACAACAAACAAAACAGAGGAAGAACAACCAAAAACAACAACAACAACTGCTCAACGAGCACAGTGAAAGAAAAAGGCCAAAGAAAACGATAGCAACAACAACAAGCATAGGAGGAGTCTTATAAAGAAAGGACTACCCAAGTTCTTATTAAAAATGTGAATATATTTTTTTTAATTAAATAAATATGTAATTCCTTTATCTGATTTTTTTAATTTAAAATATTTTTATGGGTAGGTACTATGATTTTTTTAGATTTCATGTTTTTTGAATTTAACGCATATACCCAGTGACCCTTTCTGCCGGTTTTTCGAGGGTATGCAAACAACAACAAACACAAGAGCAGCGACTGCAGATAAAACCATGCAACCGGCAAGGTAACAGCCGCAGAACCGAACGAAAACCTCTGCTGGCCACCTGCCCCTGCCCCGCCCCCTTGTTTTTTCAGCCCCCACTCTTCTCCCCTCCCCCCATCAAGCAGGTAACCTGATCGCAACAAAACAGAAGAAACAGAACGGAGAACGAGAAGGAGAAGCCGGAGCCAGCATATCAGGAGACGCAGTCTCTTCTCAAGGTGCACTGAAAAAAATATAGGACTGATGATTAAATATCTATACAATTTAAAATGAAAAGAATTTAGTTTTTTGTCGAATTTTAAAATACATTTTTACTGATTTTTAAATATTTGTGCAGTATGGATTTGATTTTATAAAATATTGGAACCAATTAAATAGATTTTATTTTAAATTAGATCCTTACATCCTTAAATATTCTACATTGAAATAGAAAAGATTTATTATTTTTTTAATGATGTAAATTAAGTTTTCCGAGTGCACCTGCTTATGTGTGCGTGTATGTTTGTGGAAATCAAGTGTAGCAAAGCAAAGGAAAGGAAAGGAAAGGTGGAGGCCAAAGAATAAGAGCAGCGGGCTCAAAGAAAACGAGAAGTAAAAGAAGAGGAAGCCGAAGAAGAAGCTGAGGAAAGCGAGGAGCGACGCGTCACGGAAAACTCGTTAATGCAGGCGAAGATTTCACTTGGACTCCAGACCCACCTCACCCATACACAGGCACCCAGAAACACACATGTGTGTCGGTGTGCGTTTAACGCATTTTAATCAGCGTGTCGCATAATTACCGGATGCTGTTCAGTGGAACAGGGGCGGGGAAGGCGGAGGGGGAGGGGTTTTCGTTTTCAAGAGGGGTCCGGGGCCAGTCGACAAGTGCCCCCCTCTCAATGCAGATGCCAAAAAAAAAGAACAGAGGGAGAGGGGAGGGGGTCCCCATGTGGCAGAGGGGCTGCCATGGGTTAAGCCAAAAGCCGAAGGGGGAATATTCAAAATCATAACAGAAAATGATGGATGAATTGTCGCGCTGCTTGGCTCCAATAAAAATAACTGTAAATGCGGTGCACTTTTCCGAAAAGGGGGAGATCGGCCAAATTAAAACGATGCCAGCACGTCGTCGCCCCCTACAAATCAACGCACACAAAATATACACAGGGGGAAATTGTTTTTTTAAGCAACACTGTATTTGAATTCCCAAACAAATTTTTTTTTGCTTTAAAATGTTTTTTAAGATATGTTATAAAAAATAAAAGTTTGAGTTTAAATATTTCTATAACGCTAATTATATCTCTAAAGTTTTCTAAAGGTATCACAATTTTAGATAAAGCTTCGGCATTATTTTTTTGAATTTATTTTCTTAAAACAGTTGTTACGTGGAATAAAACCTTTTTCGAAATGTATGTATTTCTGAATTGTGTACTAATTAAATTTTTTGATTTTGTATTTTATAATTATAAATTATGTATTTTTCCCAGTGCCCCCACAAAATAATTCTAGTGATCTTCGGCCGAGTCTGCAGTGAAAGTTGCTCGCGACTGCAGCGGCAACAGCAACAGCAGCAACAACAGCACGGCAGCAACATCAGCGGCAACACCAACAACAGCAACAACAACAACCGCCGACAACATCTCTGTCTGAATTCGAAGTATTGAAAATATTAATAGAACAAACTTGTTTTGACGGAAATGCACTTTACTTTATTTATCATAGTCCGTCAGTTTGGGATTGGGATTGGGATTCTTATTCGTATTCGGATCGGGAATGAATGAAGCAACATGTGGAGTGGCGGCAGCATCTTCTTCCTCCCTATTTATGCAGATAGATGGGCGGAAAAGATAAAGTATGTCGGGTGGCATATACAAGGCACAGTTGCAGTTGCAGTTGCAAATTGCACTGAGATCATCGACGGGAGAAGGGGAAAAGGGAATTCGCTGGCCATGTTGCAATGTTGCTGCTGGGATGGGAATGGGTCTAGAATTTTTGGGATGGGGGTCGACAGGTGTGGAGTCGTCTGGCAGTTCAAAGAGTGGAACCCTTTAAAATAAAATAATTTAAGATCATTTTGAAAATTTAATGATAAAAATCGGAAACAATATTTTGTATAGCAATCTTAGTCTATCATTAGAACATTAGAACAACATTGTTTTTTATTTTAATAGCTTCAAATTGCATAGACCCAGAACACTTAGATTTAAGCACCGCAAGCACTTGACATCATCCAACATGCGAGCTAAGATTTTTCGGATTTTGAGCTCCCCTTCCGCCAACGGCAACCAACAAAAAAAAAACCCATCTGAAGCTTGTCAAGGTTTATTACATTGTAACCACAGAAATCGCTTTGGCTTCAGCTTCAAGCGGCTGTCATGGAATATTAGAAATGCCAGGCAGCAGCAGCAACATCATAGCAGCAGCAACACTAGCAACAGCAACACCAGCAACCAGCAACTACAAGGGGTTGAGTGTGGCCCATAGACAAAGTTCAACTAAGGTTGAAACCATTTGTCGGATTAAATACGCGCTTCGGTAATTATGTGCTTCAAGCAGCAACAACAGCAGCAACAACAATATGCGAGCAACATAGACAACATGGCAAACATGTTGAGAATGCGACTCCGAAAGCCCCGAAAGCCGAAACAAGTTTCCAACTTCAGCTTTATAGTCGAAGCTATAGCTTCATAGCCGCTATAGCTCCATAGATCTATGGGGCACTCGACAACAGCAACAGCAACAACAATTACGGCAGCAACATCGAGGGACGATAAGGCTGGCAAAGTGTCAAATGAATTTGTCAGTTCGAAGGGGGCGACACTTTGGTCTCGAACCCGAACTCTGCGAACACTCCGGACATCATGTACAGCACTTGGGCCATAAAAACAAATTTAATTGTTCACCAAAAAGAAGGAAAAGGAGGGGCAGGGGACTTCCATCGGAAGGGACGGCCAAGGAAATCACGTGCGATCCGCGTCCATATCACAGGTGCTTCCGTTCCCTTTTGGAGACGGAGACGGAGACCCAGAACCCAGAGGCCAGAGAAAACCAGAAAACAGCTCGCAGCGGATGTGAGTATTTGTTGTGATTTTTGCACCTGTTGCACCTCGGCAGCAGTCAAGGAGCAAACATCAAGGTACACGGCAAAAAAATTGGATATCTTTCAGAATATAAAGGTATATTTGCCCAAAAGGGAATAAATATAAAATAAATTTATGGCAAGTTCGCGAATTCTTTATGTTTTTAATAAATGATTTATTTAAAGAGGTAAACAATCTGTATTATCAAGAAAAATTATACAAAGTAAAATATAATAAAAAAAAAAAAATCTTTCTTTAAATATATAAAAATAATTATATAACTTATTTTTCTAATAGTTGAAATATTTTTTTTTTAGATAGCATTTTTAAAATACCATACAATTTTATGAGGCATATCTTCTTAGTTAATTTTTTAAATTAAAGATACATTTAAATTAAATGATTTTCTTTCTGTGCAGGGACAAAACGAATAACGACCGACGAGCGATGCATACAAATACAAAACCACAAGCAACTTCCGCCGCCGCAGGATCAGAGAGCCCAGGCATCGGAGAACTGTAGAACTGGAGAGAACTCGAACCTGTTCCCATTCCATTCGATGGGATGCAAGATGTGCCATGCGATGCCATCCCCAAGCCATCCTCATTCGATTTGCGATTCGAATTCCCCGAAAGCTGCCGTGAGTTGGCATTTTTTCCGCGATTTTCGACGCTGTGTGTGCAGTTTTCGGTTTCAGCGAATTCATAATGATTTCATTGATCTGTCATTCAAGAGCTTCAGCTTCCAGCATGTCTGCAGTGCGAGGAGGCTGAATGCGAATGGGAATGAAACTATGGTCATGTGCCATCGCCTGTGTCTCCGGGCAAAAGGGGCTATGCATATACATATGTACGCTGGGCATGGTAATACTGATACCGATACGAATGCTGATAGCTTATCAACGCCGTTTCCTTGCTCATTAGAGCAGCTCCGCTGGCCATCGTATCAGTGATTCCATATTCCATTCTCCCCCGGCAATTCGCGAGACTCACCTTCAGCCAGTGACAGTGCGACTAGTGACAGCCAGATGGGCGGATGGACAATAGACAGGAGAAGGTTGCATTGTTTCGGAAAAAATACTAATTTTTTTAAAGGGGAATTTTTAATTTTTGGCTCATAACATGGCCAAAGGAAGGTCCTCAGCAAAAAGAATGACTGTTTTGATCAGCTAACAACCTATGCTAACGACCCACATAAATTGCTACTAGAAAAAAAAAATAAAAAATTCGTCAATTTTTTAATTTTAACCATCATGATTTTTTTAAAAAACTGGTCAAAAATTAAAGCTAGCAGATTTGAGTGCAAATCGATTGTGAATTGAATAACGAGTTCAATGGGACATGACACTCCATATTTGGAAAATTTTAAGCTTTGTTTTGGACAAAATTCACATTTTAATGATCTATTTTTTGTTCGATTTACGGAAATTTAAAATATTTCGACACGAAAAGATTCCATTAGCTATCATTAATTGTTTACAAATAATAGTTAGAAAGTACACACATACATTAAACGTAATAATATTTATATAAAATATTTTAAAAATATAAAATCTTTTATAGTTAAAATTGTTAAAAAATATTCCATGCTATTTTGAACATCCAAGTAATATCCAACTAATTAGCGAGCGATCACTGTATGCACATGTCGTTCAGAGATATCGCAGAACTGATCGAAAGTTGATTCATTGCGTGCAATGAATGAGAGAATCTTCAAAGGAATTCGCCCGAAAGGCGATATCGATACGAATGGAAGAAAAGCGGGGGAGGTTTGAGGTAAGGGAAATGGAAATGCCGGCGTGCATAATAATAGTTTATTCGGAAATCTAATGATCAATGGGAGATAGCGATGACTCCCTGTGGCCACTGGCCAGTGCATTTCATTTCATTTCCCATTGGACTGGCAGCGCTCCCTTATCAACTTCATTCATTAGAGCAACTGTCAGCCCCCAAAATGGCCAAAGAGGGTGGGGGGTTGGATTTCCTTGGGAGGGAGTTACTCGAATTGGCAGAATTGCATTGCACGCAATCAGCTCGCTCGTTAAATATAGCACACTTCAATCAGAGGCACTGCATCTTGCGACTGCCGGCGAGTATTCGAGTTCGAGTTCAGTGCTGCTGCTTCATTCATTCGCTACACGGAGAGAAAACACACAGTTTTTGTGGTTAAAATGAATAATCGAAAATTATATGTAATTCCTTAAAATATGTTGTTTTATTGTTTTATTAATTAATCGACAATTTATTTGCATTTAAAATATTTTTATGGAATACTAATATCACAGTTGTAGTAACTTTATTATTATTCACATGGGGTTCAACATTTTTTTTTATAATTTATTTTTTAAAACTATCAACTTTGTATATACGAAAGGTAATGTTCTGAGTTTTTATTATCACTTATAATGATAATAATTAAAATATCAATTTTTCTGCATAGAGTTCTGTAAAAAAAACCTTTTAAATTATTTTTGGTGATATTTTTTTCGGTGATCCGACTCAAAGTGTGTCAATCGAAGCGAGTTTCGAGCGGATTGGCAGGTCTCGTGCAGCAAGGCTTATCGGGGGATAGTCTGGATCCGAATCGGAGGCTCCCCCCTCAGCCCCCATTATTCGCCCCCTTGGCGAGTCTGCGGTTGCCCGCCACTGATTACAGGCACAAAAAATGTCATGTTTTATTTGCCTTTATTTCTTTCGGTTTCATTCTCTTTTTCTTCTTGTGCCTCCCATTTGTTTGTGCTCCTCTTTTTCTTTTCCCCATTTTTTTTTTGTATTTTTTGCAAAGGCCCGGATGACCCCGAGAGCCCCGGTCGATCCGCTGGGTTATCATCGCAGCCCCAGCCCCTCGCACACACACCATATAGATATAGTACTAGCAGCCCAGCCAGAGTACCCATAGTATATGTAGTATATAGACCGACTGTTTGTAATTTGCGTTTGAGCGCGCGAATTATGATTGAATAATGAAATGCCACAATGGGCAGTGGGCAATGGGCAGTCAGTCGCTGCCTTCAATTATGCAAAACGGTTACTGCACTTTGCATTAATTAACAGGCGGGCAAACAAAAAGAAAAGAAATTCGCGCAGCTGACACAATTTTGCACGTGCTAAGTTAACCCCTTTTCCTAGGAGACTTGCAAATTATTTCCTCTTTAGATTAAAGTCATTGTTCTGGGGATACTTTATAAAAATATTGTTAGCTTAAAAAGTTTCTAGTAGTTATATAATTGTTTTTCAACGGTAAGATTTTTATTTGTAGCTCAACAAAATAAAATCGTTTTCATTAAAAATATTTAAATTTTTTAAGGACCTTAAAATATATCATTAAATATCATTTTAATAATTCCCAATAAAACCTCATTGAGTTTAACAAGTAATTTTAAGTTATTTTGTTTTTTTTTAAATACATTGGTGAAAGCTTTTAATTAATTTCCTTTGACAAAAAAACTACTGCAATCCAAAATGGTTTCTTAGAAAAATTTAACTTCAAAGTATTTAACTTGTCAAAAATGTCTGAACTTGTAAGTAATGTTTCTAAATACCCATAAATCTTAGTAATACTTTCTAAATAACACCTTTATAAAATGGGTTATTTTAAGTCAGTTTCTTGAGCTCAGTTCCATCAGCTGTGGACTGTTTAGACCGGCAAACTAAAGGGTTACTAAAGATATTACAGAGGAGCGGGGATGTCGAAATATTTTTCCGACTTCCCTCCAGTGCGAGTGAAAATATTTTGCAGTTAAATTTAAATTAAGTACACGGGCTGGTGTGTGTGTGTAGAGTGTGTTTATGTGGCTGCAACATTTGATGCGCGCCTTCCGTTGTAAATTTTCATCGTAGGTTGTCGGTGAGATGCCGCCGCCGCCCGCAATGTTTGTGCAGCAGCAACAGCAACAGCACAGCAGCAACACATCGGCGACGGCAGCAACATTCTGTTCTGTTCTGTATTTTTTCTCTTTTTTTTTTAGTTTATTTTTCCCCATTTTTTTTCTCAGTTTTTAGTAATTTAAAAATAAGTGCGCCGACGGCGGCCCCAAATAGCATCCGCAAAATGCAGCAGAAGCATCGTCGTTCGTCGGTTGCCGCTGCTGGATGGCCATCTGTGTGCGTTGCGGTGTTTAGTGGTATCGGTGAGTATCTGTGTGAGCAGCAGCAGCCCCAATCCGAAGCCAAACGAGAATCGCGTTCTGAGTTCTCGGGGCCTCCGGTCGGTCGGTCCGTGTGCGCCGCTCGAGATAAACAAACTGCCAGTTCACTATCAATCAAATACCGGAAACAGCTGCTTTAGTTTTGCCATAGCCATTTGGCACACCAATACATGCAGAGAGGGGTCCGAAACACACACACATACATCAGAGATCGGGGGGAGAAAAGGGATCATATAGTATCATATGATAGCTTCCTTCAAATAAAACACTTCAAAGGTTGTTGTATTTTTTTAGTATTATATGATTTTTTTTATTTTGTAGTTTTTAACGGAACATACATTCTAAAAACATTACATAAAGTTCTTCTGGTTCTCCGGGGTTTCGCACTCAAAACCCCACATACTCTCACCCTACATCTCTTCCTTATATCATCTCATCCTCCTTTCTAATCAGTTTATTTTATTATAATGAAATGTACAAATAAAATAAATATTCATTATGCATAGCTTTTTGTATGTATAGAGTGCCTTAAATATTAATATTTATCTTTATCGTTATCTTTATGCGTGTATAATTTTTTCTGTTTTTGTAGGTCTGCGCTTCTTGAATTTGTTTTCATTAACGGCTAGGCTTTTAAGGAGTTTTTCCAGCTTTTAGTTTGTTTTTGGGGATTTTTCTTTTTCCTTTTTTGTTGCGTTTTTTTCTTGTTGTAGTTTAGAAGTTAGGAGTTTTAAGCATAGTTTTCTGGTTTTCATCGTATATATCTAGGCGTATTTATATAGTTAAATATAGTACATATACAGATTACATATATAATGAATATATAGTAATGTGTTTTTAGTGTTTAACATTAATCTTTAATTTACTTTTTTCGCTTGCTTCTTGCTTTTACGTGTATAAATTTGTTTTAAGTTGCTAATTTGCCACTGTTTTTGTTGTTGTCATATTTCATATGGATATTCTATACAAAAAATGTTTGTTTTCTTTTGTTTTGTTTTGTATTTTTGCTGCATTTTAGATGTTAGACTTAAGTTTTGCTTGGTTTTTAGTGTTTAGTTTTGTTTTTCTATTATTTGGAATTTGCTTGCATTTTGTATCTCGCATTTCGCTTAAAAATTTCATTATAAGTATATACAATCCTGCTCACATTTTTGGGGCTGCTGGCGAATCCCGATCTTTTTTATCTTTTAAGCTATATAAAATAAGTTCATAAGCAACCGATTTCGTTATCCCATATTTTCGCTCCTAAGATTTTTGCTCCGGCTCCCCGTAGTTGGTAAAGTAAACTAACTGACTTTTGGTTTGCAGTACATCTAGATCGATATTCTAAGCACATTTATAGGTTGCTCTAAATTTATCGAAAAGTTCGTCGCCCTCCACACACATACACACACTAAGACACACACACACATATCAATTTTAAGATTTAAATTCGTAAAGTTCTACAATATTTCTTGTGTAATTTTCGGTTTTTCTTTTCTGTTTTCTCTACAACATCAAAAATGGACTGGACTTGGTATATGTATATATTATGTATAATATTTGACTAATTTACGCCATTGAATATTTCTCTAAAAGTTCTCCCGTGTGTGTATATAGGTATATATAATATGGTGTTTTGTTACGCTTGCCCCAAATTGTTCAGTTTGTTTCATTTCAGTTTGTATATGAAAATAATAGAAAACTTTCGCCCGTTCACTTTTACTGTACTTCGTTCGTGGAAAAATTCATTTGGAATTATTTGCATACAACTATTTATGTATATATGTACGTGTTTATAAAGTAAGAATTTGACTTAGAAATTGAACATTGAACTGAAGAGTTGATTAATTAATGAATTAAGCAAGTGAAAACCAAAAAATCAAATAATACAAAAAAATCGTTCGAAAAATTGTAATTTCTAATCGCATTCGTCGTTTCGTCGTCGCCTTCTTCTTCTTCATCTTTTCCACTCGTCGCATCGCCACTCGTTACTCTTTTTTTTAAGCAAAAATTATTTTTTAAATAACATTTCTAATAATTAATAATTATCTGTTTGCAGTCTTTGGTTATTTAATTTTTCTTTCTTTTCCTCTTTTTTTATATATCCTTTTTTAAATCATATATTAAATATTTTCCGTATATATATTGGGGGTATATATGAAGGGGGTTCACGATTTCCTACAATTTTTTGTGCCTTAAGGTTTTTGCCTAGGTTCAAAAGCCGGGCACAAAAATGGGAAGGAGGAGAAGTAGAATCCTAATAGTCGGGACTGGAGTCCAGGAGTCGCTTCTCGGGCGTGAGGTCCCCCTTGCGCAGGATGCTCCTGGCGGCACTGCATCCGTGCTCCATGGCCTTGCCATTCGCCTGGTTGAGTGCGCCCTCCGTGCCACTGGATAGATTTATTCCACCCCCCAGACTATTGCCATTCACCCCCAGGGGCACAATGGGCAACATGCTGCTGGTGGATCCTATGGCTCCGCCTGCTCCTCCAATGCCTGATCCTCCTCCTCCTCCGCCCATCGATCCTCCCTGACAGCGGCATCCTCGGCCGGCAAACCTGCCATAGCACTTTTCGCACAGCTTCATGCAACCCCTCATGGGCCAGTAGAACCACAGGCAGGGCAGGAAGATCGACAGGGCTCCCAGCCAACCCCATCTCTGGGTTCTCTTGTACGGCCCACAGGAGCAGGGATTATCCACGCAGGGTGTGCCATTCCCGTCGTCGCAATCCAGGTCATTATCCCGCGCACAGTGATAGAACAGGGCCTTGGCACAGCACAGACAGGAGGCATAGTCGATGATCGACTCGGCGCTGCACAGGCAGGTCTTGTTGCACACCCACGTCTGGGGCAGCGGCCTGGGGCTCTGGCACTGCTCGCAGCGACAGCGACCGCAGCGCGGACAGACGATGGGATTGGAGAGGCTGGGATCGCCGGACATGACCAGGGGCCCATTGTTAGCTCCTCCTGTTCCTCCTCCCGGTTGCAGCAGCTCCTCCAGGGCATGCATATGCTCCTTCTGCGTCGGCTGTTTGGTTATTATGGGTTGGTTCAAACCCAATCCTAAACCCAAACCCAATCTGGGTCCTGGCTGCTGCTGCTGTTGTTTCGAGGCGGGTGGTTTGCTATTAGTGCTATTTGATTGCAGGTGCGAATGTAGTAAGCCATCGGTGTGGTCGCTTCCAACGGACGTCGCCTGCGTCGTCGTCGTCGCCAGTCGCGCATGTTGCTGCTGCATATGTTGCTGGTGCATTTGCTGCTGCTGCTGGTGCTGCTGCTGCAAATGCTGATTCCTTTGGGGCAGCAGCAACAGATGGTGGGTGGTCGTCTGGCCATTATCCTGCTGGCCAGCCGGATGCTGGGCACGCGTCGCATGCTGCAGCGGCGTGTCCACATACTCGTTGGTTAGCCTTTCGGACTCGGGTCGCGGTTGAGCCAGCGTGACGGGGGAGGCGGGCGGCTGGCCCAGCGAGTTCACCGAGCTCGCCGGCTCACCAGCGCTTTGGAAATGACTAAGGAAGTTGTTGTTATTATTGTTAACCAGCGGTATGGGTATTGCCGGTGGTCTCCGCCTCGTAAAGCTAGAGGATGATCCCGAAACAGATCCCGATCCCGAAACACTTATGCCCGTTGCCGTTGTCGAGGAGGCCGTGCTGCTGTTGCGGCTCAAACTGCTGGGTCGCTGGGGCAGGAAGGTCAGGTGGTGGATCTGATAGTCGTCGAAATCCGGCGATGCGGGTATTATCGATATCGTATTATTATTATTATTATTGTTGTTGCTCGCGGCGGCTGTGCTAATACTAAGTTGTTGCTGCTGTGAATTGTTGTTTGTATGGATTGTGGATGTTGCAGATGATACAGATGATACAGATACTTGGTCGATGCCACTCAACGTCGGCTCCGGCGCCCTTGGTCGATGCACTCGCGGTAATAACTTCGGGGGCCGGGGTGGCGCCAAGGGATCGCCGCCATTCCTGCGATCCATGTAGTGTCGTTGTAACCAGGACTCCTCCTCCTCCTGCACCTCCACTCCTCCGCTCCACGTCCTCGTCCTCGTTCCGCTCCACTGCTCGCTCCACCTCGAGATCGAGATCGGTCCGAGTTGCGGTTCCGGATCCGAGATCCGAGATCCGAGATCCTCAATGCCGCCGATCGTAGTTGCTGCGCCCGTTCTCAGCTCGATTTGCCTTCATCCTTTTGCAGATTCCGACAGCTGCGAACAGATTGCTTTCTGTAAGTAAAAAGGGGGAAAATAAATAATTAGTAAATTTTAAAAACATATTAATAAATAAAATTATTTCTTATTCCTACGAATTTGTTTGTATTATTATTTCCGAATTTCGGTTTTTCTTTTAGATTTCTAAGTCAAACCAGCAACTTTATATTAATTTTTATAATTTAATTGTGAAGCTCAATCACTTTTATTTACTTTCTATTTGTATACCATCTCCCGTTTATTTACAAAATCTAACCGAGATAAAAAACGCCTAAAAGTAATCCACGTTTATTTATCGACCCCCAAAGAAAGTGCAAGAAGGCCACGCCACGCGATTCTATTCGATTTTGCACTTTTCGCCAGCACTAAAATGGCACGTAGATGGGTTCGCCGTGCTTATGGATAAACGCAAAATAAATAAGAGAGCCCACAAATAGTGGATATATAGAAATGGTCCGGCACGAGGGCGTGCCTCTCGGGGTCCAAAGTGCCGGCCAGATGCTTTTGTTTGGATTAAATGGCCAAGTGAAGTGAACTTTTCTTCGTCGACTTCGTCTTAATGTTTGTAATTAATTCCGCAGCTAGGAAACCGAAGTGAGAGAAGGTCGCCCGTCATATTTATAATATGTATGTGCCAGATAAAGACGGTTTTTTTTGGTTTTCGGCATGACTTTTATGTAAACATCATAGGGCACACAAAACAACAGGCTTTATGATTATTATTATTTCGGTTCATAATGCTTTCGGGTTCACTCGAATCGGCGGGACATGATGTTTCGGAGATTGTGTTTCGTAGTTTCTGGGGAATTGGGAACTGGGCTTGGCCACCGCTAAATGTTTAAGATCAAATTGCTTATTTATGCTAGAGACGACGAGAAAGAGCGCAGTTCGTAGTACTCCCCATATTAAAGTAGGTATATATACATTTTTTTAGATTTGCCGCCTTTTGCGCCCTCGACTTTGCTAACCCCCATTATCTCTGCCTTAATTGCTTTCACCCCGCCAATCTGATTCGGGCGTAATATTTGAAAATTTCAAAATTCCATTCAGCTTTCAGAGTTCTCCTCCTCTTATTTCCGCTCCACTCCGAATATTACGTAGGGCCATAAAAATAAATGGAATAACTTTCATAATTGTTCGATTTGGCATATCAAAAAGAAATTAGCGATTCGGAATCAGAATGAGAACCCCGAATCATTTGCATGTGTATATTCTGTATATATACTATATGTACAATGATTTCGAGAGCGAAGAGCAAAGAACGAAGCGAATGAATAAAGAAAATGATGCTAATTGAACTTTGACTGAGTACATTTTTTTCGGCATTGATGATGATCATGTTAATTATGGCACGATCGCTATCGCGAAATTAAACATTTTTATGGCGAAACAACTGTATTTTTATGGCATGTTCTTTTGCGATTTATAGCGATGCAGCAGTTAATCTGGTCAACGCGGCGTATGAGTAATGCGATGCGATCCCGAGCGAAAGATCGAAAACCCGAGAAACGCCAGACGTCGCGTTTTAGATAAATATTTGTTTACACATAATTAAAGGCATGGCACGAGGTGGCCCCCGGCAAATAAGGAAATACAGGAAATTAATAAATGGCGTCGCTGTTCCATAAAAATTAATAAAATGGCAGGGACAGTCAAGAGCAGAATTTTAGAAAAACCAAAATTAGCATAAAAATAGAGGATTTAAAAAAAAATAATATTATATTTATTACATTTTTAAAAGTCTTTTTAACTTTATTTTTTACATTTTTCAAGCACTATTTCTGTAACCCCAGCTGTACAAACGCCTATATCTGACGATAAAAAGCCCAACGAATTATTATTATTATTGTGCCGCATAAAAATTGTTTTTAGCGCCAACGAAAATTTCTACGCCCCGAGAAGAAAAAGAAATAAATACAGGGAATACAGAATGCATATATGTGTATAGAGAGGCTATAGAGCTATAGGTATGCGATTGGGTTAAGTGTGTGCTTTTCGGGGGGTATAAAAATTAACACAAACGCCCACTTATTGACGTCATGTCCGGTACTCAAAAACAATTTTCGAGAATGATCACAATTGGGAAAAACAAAATAGAAAATCAACGAAAACACACGTCGTGGTGAGGAATGGATGAGGGGTTTTTTTCTTGGGCAGTGGCAGTGGATCGCCACTGATTGCCAATAAGAAAATCACACAGAGGCACACAGGTCCTCCCTCTTTATATATTTGGCAATCGACTTTTCTGCTTTTGGGGGTTGGGGGTGGAAGAAAAACCGTAAGCATCATTTTGATTTTTTTCCCATTCTTTGATATACAAAATTCTAGGTAGTAAACTATTTATATGCTTTTTTAAGAATGAATTCTAGGGAGAAAGACTTTGATGTTATAGATATAGCATATAGAGATATAGGCGTTCCAAATCGAAGTCGAGTTCTTAATTAACCATAAATTCGCTACAAGTTTGAGCCAGTAAAATTCCAATTAAAAGGTGTAAATGCGAGCCATAAAAAACATATTCAAATTGCTCAATAAAAAATAAATAAACATAATTCAAAGTTTATTTTTTGTTTCGCCTGCTTGACGCAAAGCCCGCCGAAAGTAATGCCAAGATTTCGATTTCATTCTTAAATTAATTGGGCACAGCAGATAGAATACAACAAAAAATACAAAAAAAAAACATTGTACGTAATTTCAACAACAATTTTGTTTGCTTTTTTGCGTTCACTCGCTTATTTTTAATTGCGCTAAAATTCTTTTTCCTCGCTGCTTTTATTTTTATTTATTTTTTGGGCAAACTTTGACCTTGGATCGCGCAGCGCGGTGCCTGAATAAAAAATAAATTATTTCGCTGGCAGGGAGTGTGATTCAATGGCGCACGAAATGTGAAATGTGGCATTTGAAACGTTTTCATTAATAAGTACAAATACGAAAGGGGGTGGAGGGCAGGGGGCGGTGAAGGTCTTTGTCGCCCCGGCTAATTCATTCAAACGATTCGACGAGGAGAAGAGATTCGCTGCCTTTGTTAGTTTGCGCTTGTTTGTTTGTTTGTTTGGCTGTTTGCGCAAACAAGTGTCACTGCCAGTTGCGATTTAAATAAAATTATTTAAGGCAGACAGACAGCCCACCAACAACAACACAAGCAACACAAAGCGTTTTTATATAAAAATAAACTCTGGCAGAAATCAAATGCAAACAGGTTTTTTATATTATTTTTTTTTTATTCGCTGGGCCTGCCATTCTGGTTAATAAGCCGGCGAATAATGCTTCTGGCGACCGAGAAGTCCGATCTTTGCCTTATCAACACGGCTACGTTTACCGTTCCAATTGTCAAATGAATTAATAAAAGTTATTGCCCAAAGAGTAAGCCATCATGACCCAATTAAATTATTCACAAAAAAATAAGAAGGAAAAAGTAAACACAAAATAAAGGACAATTAATTGATTCTTTAATTTACAGGGAATTTTTTAAAGGCATTTTTACTCAAAATTAAACACATCACAATAATGAAGAATATTATTTATCTTCCTCAAGAACTTATTTATTTCTTATAAAGGTCTTTTATTTTTCTCACTTAAGCCTACTTTGTATTAAATGATTTTACTGCTGATTTAGTATTTATTAACGCATTTTTAGAGCTGTCAGCAATGACGACACAAAAAGTACGAATTGCAATTCATTTTATCATGTCTGGAAATCGTGCTTATAATATAGTCAAGTGTAAAAAATGTTTCAACTCTTTTTCATTTAGTTTTTTGCTCTCATTCCGATTTTGTGTCAAGTTCTGGTAGAGGAAAAAAATAGTTCAACAAACGTGGAGATATTTTGTTATAATTTTTACGGTTTTCTTTAATATTTTCGTTTTGAATTCCAGAATTTAAAAATATGCTTTTCGAGCCCTGCTAAAAATATGTGCGGATACACACGCTTTCGAGTTTCGAGGGCAGACACACATGAGTAGACAAATGAAATGCGAAGAGCGACAGATGAAAAACCTACACAGGAAACGCTAATGACTGCAGGCAACTCGGAGGGAACAAAACGCGAATGAGAAAACTGAAACTGAAACGGGAATCGCTTGATGTTGCTGTTGTGCTGATGCTGCTGCTGCTGTTGTTGTTGCTGCTGCCACGACAACAACACCAACAGCCAGTCACAGAGCACAGATCATTAAACTATTTAAATGCCCAACCGAACCATATGTTGCAGCCACAGCAGCAGCAGCAGCAGCAACATCACCAACAGCAACAGCAGTCCCAGCAGCAACATCAGCTAATAGTTTTCAAAGCAAATGAGCAGCACATGTGGCAAAGGGCTCACGCACACTCACACAGCTTCCAGACTCTCTGTTTATGTGTGTGTTAATGATATATACACCAAAGTCGGTCCGAATGATAATTATCATGATGATTATGTTCATTCTTGTGTCTGGAATGGAATGGCTCGGTTCGTTTTGGGTTTTCCTCTACTTTTATAGAAATCATTGAAGCCAACTTTGAGCTGAGATCGGTGTAGTATGGATAGCAGGGCAGGGGAAAGGGGGTTTCTCGGGGGGAGAAGCAGCCGAGAAGAAGCAAAAGATCAAATCACCAACAAATGAGCTGAGCCAAGAAGATGGCATCAAAGTTGGAGGCCCCAGACAACGGTCGACTGTTCAGAGATGTCACCGATGGGAACTGGTTCGGGAAATTGTAATGCCAAGAGTTAATTTTTATACCTAGAATTTATGGGAAATAAATAATAATAAAAGAAACTTTCTAGTTATGATGATATAGCTGGGATTTTTCATATAAACTAACCTTAAAAATCCAAAAATGAATTTTTAAAATCTGGTACTATAAGAACTATTTAAGAACTAGTTCCCTTTTAAACTAATCAACTCTTCTCCCCTGATTTTTCCCTGCTTTATAATGCTGGTCTGTTGTCTGGTCTGGTTTGATCTGGTCTAGAGGTCTACAAAACGCTAAGAGGAAGAGAGAGAAGAAGCAGAGGCAGAAGAAGCCCATAAACTACA